CTGCAGGACTCGGGTGTTCGGGAACAGATATGGTATCAGTTCCGAGTATCCCTGCTTTTCTTTTCAAAAAGACGATATCTCTACATTTTCTAGAACGAGAAACTTCTCGTCTCGGCGTGTAATGGGACTATTCCATCAGCTGATCTCTTCACTCATTACCAGATTTTTAAAACGAAGATAATCTATGTTATCCTAATCAAGCTTTTGCCACTGTGCATACATTACAAGCCTGTTTCACGGCGAAATTTCATGCACCGCCTCCGAAAAACACGCACATGCTTCTCTTGCAGCGCTATAAATTGGCTTGCCGTCCCTCTCCCACTTGCTTTATTAATGTCTCCTCCCTTATTGTTTTCGTGAATTGAAATCACCCTTACTCCAACATCAATACAATATGCTTTTAGGATTATCAGATTATGCCCAGATGGCCAGAAACTTCTTCCCACCCGCCCCTGCGCTCTTGCCAGAGGACTATCCGTCTTTGGCCGGCAAGGTGGTGATTGTCACCGGTGGTAACTCTGGTGTGGGATTCGAGACTGTCAAACTCTTGGGTGCGGCCGGTGCCAAGGTTTACATTTTTGCCAGAAACGAGGCCAGTGCGCTCCAGGCGATCGAGGACGCCAAGAAGACGGTCAAGGACATTGATGTTCACTTTGTGAAGGCTGATTTGAGCGACTTGACCACCATCAAGCCTGCAGCTGAGGCATTTTTGGCACGCGAATCTAGATTGGATCTTGTGATCCACAATGCCGGTGTGATGGTCCCACCAGTGGGTTCCACCTCCGCTCAAGGCTACGAGTTGCAGTTAGGTACCAACGTTATCGGTCCGTTTGCGTTACAGAAGCTCTTGACTCCTGTGATGTACGAGACGGTGGAGAAGTTTAGCACAGCTAACGAATCCAGAATTGTTTGGGTCACCTCCTCCGCCCACGGGATTTCGCCAAAGCACGGTGTCAACTTGGACAACTTGAACGACTTGACTGCAGACGTATGGGCCAACTACGGACAATCCAAGGCCGCCATGATAATTGCTGCAGCCCAGTGGGCTAAGCAAAACCCGAAGGAGGCATCCAAGATTGTCACCATCTCGGTCGATCCGGGTAACTTGAAAACCAACTTGCAGAGAAACATGTCTTGGTTTTCTGGGAAGCTTACGCAGTACACGTTTCACCCTGCTATTTACGGTGCGTACTCCGAGTTGTTTGGCGCCTTGTCTCCAACCATCACCACCGCCAATAACGGTGGGTACATTATTCCGTGGGGCAGAGTCGGTAGAATCAGAGGCGACGTTGCCGAATCTGCCAACAACGAGATTGGTGAAAAGTTCTACAAGTACTTGGAGGATGAGACGGCCAAGTATTTGTAGAACATTCTTTTTTCCGTGTGTTATTGATTTTGTTTTAGTTGCATTATTGTAGATAACAGACTGAGAAATTTCGATGATCTAGCGATTGTGCCTATGGTTAAAGTTCATACAGCGTGTGTACTCGATGATCGTTACTTTGACAGACTCCTTTCTCCAATTCGGAGACTTATATTGCTGAGACTAAGCTATTTGAACCATGTCTCCTTCCTCTGATTGATATAGAATCATTAGGGATTTGAAGGTTACCTTTGGGATATGACACCAGGGCATATACCGATGTTGCGGGGTGTCAGAATCCCAGCGCAATAATGCCTATTGATTGTTATTAGTCCTTCCCATTGGTGGTTGAGATGAATACTATGGGTATTTCCATAGGACCCAGGCGTTCATATCTTACTCTAGAACTTGACCCCTGTTACGTGGCGGGGCACTGAACGGGGTATAAATATAATGCATCGATGGCTTGTTAGACGAGTCTTGTGAGATAGTGGCGCTGGTGTTTCGTAAATAGTATCCCTGAGACTGCGTGGGTACTAGTTCTGCAGGATTATTCAGTCTGATTGTTTGTCGGGTTATCAGTATTACACAATTTCACCGATACCTGGGTTTCTGTTTTTACCAGCAACCATATTTAAGCATTTGCCACTGTGTGCGCGACAAGTTTCATCCACGGCGAAATTTCACGGAGCCCTTCGAAAAACGCGCATATGCATCTCTTACAACACTATAAATTGGTTTGCCACCGACCTCTGTTTCGCCGGCTTCTTTTTTCTTGTTAATTTCATTAATTGAAACCACCACCCTGACACCAATACAATATGCTCTTAGGATTATCAGATTATGCCCAGGTGTCCAGAAACTTCTGCCCGCCCAAACCCTCTTTCTTGCCAGAGGACTACCCGTCTTTGGCCGGCAAGGTGGTGATTGTCACCGGTGGTAACTCTGGTGTGGGATTCGAGGCTGTCAAACTCTTGGGTGCGGCCGGTGCCAAGGTTTACATCTTTTCCAGAAATGAAGCTAATACGCTCCAGGCGATCGAGGACGCCAAGAAGGCGGTCAAGGACATTGATGTTCACTTTGTAAAGGTTGATTTGAGCGACTTGACCACCATCAAGCCTGCAGCTGAGGCATTTTTGGCACGCGAATCTAGATTGGATATTGTGATCCACAATGCCGGTGTGATGGTCCCACCAGTGGGTTCCACCTCCGCTCAAGGTTATGAGTTGCAGTTAGGTACCAACATTATCGGTCCGTTTGCGCTACAGAAACTCTTGACTCCTGTGATGTACGAGACGGTGGAGAAGTTTAGCACAGCTAACGAATCCAGAATTGTCTGGGTCACTTCCTCTGGCCATGCACTTTTTTCACCAAAGCACGGTGTCAACTTGGACAACTTGAACGACTTGACTGCAGGCACATGGAGAAACTACGGACAGTCCAAGGCTGGTATGGTGATTACTGCAGCCCAGTGGGCTAAGCAAAACCCGAAGGAGGCATCCAAGATTGTCACCATCTCGGTCGATCCGGGTAACTTGGAAACTAACTTGCAGAGACACCTGTCCCTGTTTGCTAGGAAGCTTTCACTGTACACCTTGTTCCCTGCTATCAACGGTGCGTATTCCGAGTTATTTGGTGCCTTGTCGCCAACCATTACCACCGCCAACAACGGTGGGTACATCATTCCGTGGGGCAGAGTCGGTAGAATCAGAGGTGACGTTGCCGAGTCTGCCAACAACGAGATTGGTGAAAAGTTCTACAAGTACTTGGAGGATGAGACGGCCAAGTATTTGTAGAACATTCTCTTTTCTGTGTATATTAATCTGATCTTGTTGCGACAGTGTAGGCGACACTGGGAAATTTCGACGATCCAACGATTGTGCCGATGACCAGAATTGACACATGGTGCATAATCGAAGGCCTTTGTTTCGGCAGATGTCTTCCTCCGATTCAAGAGTCTTATATTGTCAAGATTTAGCTATTTGAACCTTGTCTTCTTCCTCTGATATAGGATCATTAGGGGTTTGATTGTTACCTTTAGGATATGACACCAGGGCATATACCGATGTTGCGGGGTGTCAGAATCCCAGCGCAATAATGCCTATTGATTGTTATTGGTCTTTCCCATTGGTGGTTGAGATGAATACTATGGGTATTTCCATAGGACCCAGGCGTTCATATCCTACTCTAGAACTTGATCCCTGTTACGTGGTGGGGTACTGAACGGAGTATAAATATAATGCATCGATGGCTTGTTAGACGAGTCTTGTGAGGTAGTGACGCTGGTGCTTCGTAAATAGTATCTCTGAGGCTGTGTGGGTATTAATTCCTGCAGGATTATTCAGTCTGATTGTTTGTCGGGTTATCGGTATTACACAGTTTCACATATACCCTACATATAATAACACTAAACTTTTGTTATCGTCCGTACATGGCAAGCCTCGTTCATGACGAAATTTCACGCACCCCTTCAAAAAAACGCGCATATGCATCTCTTACAGCGCTATAAATTGGTTTGCCACCAACCTCTGTTTCACCAGCTTCTTTTTTCTTGTTAATTTCGTAAGTCGAAACCACTCCCATTCCACCATCAATACAAAATGGGTTTAGGATTATCGGATTATACTCAGCTGTTCAGAAACTTCTGCCCACCCAAACCCTCTTTCTTGCCAGAGGACTATCCGTCTTTGGCCGGTAAGGTGGTGATTGTCACCGGTGGTAATTCTGGTGTGGGATTCGAGGCTGTCAAACTCTTGGGTGCGGCCGGTGCCAAGGTTTACATCTTTTCCAGAAACGAAGCTAACATGCTCCAGGCGATCGAGGACGCCAAGAAGGCGGTTAAGAACATTGATGTTCACTTTGTAAAGGTTGATTTGAGCGACTTGACCACCATCAAGCCTGCAGCCGAGGCATTTTTGGCACGTGAATCTAGATTGGATCTTGTGATTCACAATGCCGGTGTGATGAGCCCGCCAAAAGGCTCCACTTCTGCTCAGGGTTACGAGTTGCAGTTAGGTACCAACGTTATCGGTCCGTTTGCGTTACAGAAGCTCTTGACTCCTGTGATGTATGAGACGGTGGAGAAGTTTAGCACAGCTAACGAATCCAGAATTGTCTGGGTCACTTCCTCTGGCCATGCACTTTTTTCACCAAAGCACGGTGTCAACTTGGACAACTTGAACGACTTGACTGCGGGCGAAATGACCAACTATGGACAATCCAAGGCTGGTATGGTGATTACTGCAGCCCAGTGGGCTAAGCAAAACCCGAAGGAGGCATCCAAGATTGTCACCATCTCGGTCGATCCGGGTAACTTGGAAACCAACTTGCTGAGACACCTGTCCCTGTTTGCTAGGAAGCTTTCACCGTATATCTTGTTCCCTGCTATCAACGGTGCGTATTCCGAGTTATTTGCCGCCTTGTCGCCAACCATCACCACCGCCAACAACGGTGGGTACATTATTCCGTGGGGCAGAGTCGGTAGAATCAGAGGTGACGTTGCCGAGTCTGCCAACAATGAGATTGGCGAAAAGTTCTACAAGTACTTGGAGGATGAGACAGCCAAGTATTTGTAGAGTGATATCTTTTCTGTATATAGCTTATTTGATTTTAGTTGCATTATTGTAGGTAATGGCCGGTAGGAAACTTGCCTTCGTCTATACTATAGATTGTGTGTGACGTGGTCAACGAATGTTAGTTGGATAGATATATAGAGAGCATGTTTCTCCTATTTATAGGTGCGATTATTGGCGGGCTTGACCGTTGTACTTGCATTTGTTCATTGGTGTGCATTATCTTCATTAACTGATAGTATTTCAGGATTTAATAAATTCGAGGATCCAGATCATATGTGGTGCGCCTGGTATACACGTTTGCGTGTAAATGGTGAAGCTTCCAGCAGTATGCAGGTAAACTCCATATTTTCAGTTAGATTTAGCCGGAAACAAAATTTTAAGGCCTTGGAACGGCGTCAGTATCGGTACGAGATCCAAAGCTACGTAGTTCCTCAAGGAAAGAGGTTAATAATCCAGGCCTAAGGACCACAGCTTTAAGCTCTTCACATTCCTTGACTAGATGAAAGCCATGTTGGGTCCCATGGAAAGAACAGTACCAAATAAAGCTCCCTCATGGTTTCCAAGGTTCAACAACAAATAGTACTTGTGTTTGAACATGACCCTACCTATAACAGACATGCCTCCAGTCTATTGATGCCGTGTACGGCATACATCCAGGCCATACTGTTAGACATCGTAGTTAGTTTAGTAAGACGCAAAATCATACTGGTGTAACAACAACATGTCGCTGGTAATCTCCGAAAAGTCCTGTGAATCCGCAAGAGCTTCAGACGCAGCTCCAGACGAGTTAGCCGCAGCCTCTGCCAACCGTTGGATTTCTTCTATTTCTCGCTTGCTTTTTCTCCCTCTCTTCTTTGGTTGGTTTTTGATGATCTCTGCCTGTTTGATAACGTTGAAATTGTAAGAGTCAACATACTTCTCCGCCAATTCTCGGGAGTGCAACCGAGGTTGGTTCATAGAGCTCAAATAGGTGAGGATTAAATGCTCATACCTGACAGAGCTGGTAGTATCAGATTCATCCAATGTCATTGTTTCTTGGGCGAATAGCTTCTCTGCGATCTTGTTGTCAATAACCTTGTCCGTATCATCGACGATGAAAGATTCGACTTCATCCAGAGCGTCAGAGTCATAATCATAGGGGCGCTTGATGATCTGCGAGAATGAGGTGGGCAATGACCCAATTAAGGTTGTGCTTTGAGATTGGAGATTGCTCAAATCATCATCCTCACTGCTATCAAAACTATCTTCTCTGGCATCAAAGAATTCATCCTCTTCCTTCTCTTCTACAACCATGCCCTCAGCCTTTTCAAACTGGCTCATCGCTATTGCTTCTCCCAAGGAATCCTCATTCAAATAGCTATCCCGTTTAACTTTTCCAATATACTTGTTGAGATTCACCATCGGAACCTCAGAGCCCTTGTAATCCACCAAAACCAAGCCTAAGCGCAGGGGTAAGAGCCGGAAATACTCAGACTTGGAAACATTTCCGTGCCACGAACCTCGCTTTTTCATTTGCTTTAAAGCCAATAACACATCGGTTCGGGAGACATACATTGAGATCCTACCACTTTCCTCACTATCGGACTCTTCGCTGTCTTGGTCTTTCTCGTGGTGGACAAGCTTTTTGTGTCGGTTGAACCAATGGGTAGTAATTTTGTTCACGCAGATTGCATGGATGAGGGCTTTGGTCATATGGATTGAAAGGGTTTCTAAGCTGTGGACAACCGGTAAGTTCATCTTGGGGGTGGCCTTGGATATCGGAGTGATTGTGTTCCTGGAGTAAAGTTGCGACAACTGGACGGCCATACCAACATTAATCAAGGAGTCAAGGTTTTCGTTCGTGGGTTTATGTGGCTCCTCATCAGAGACTATCGTTGCATCACTGTCGATATCCAGGTCTGCGGGCCCAATGGGCTGTGTATACACATTGGCTAAGGTGGCACCTTCGGCTGTCGGGTCTTTGTAGATGTAAGCCAACAACCCACTCTTCGTCCGCTGCATATCGTCGTTATTTTTTTGTCTTTCGATAATATCCATCAAGTATGCCTGGCTCTCCTCCATATCGATGAAATGATTGCTCATTTCGTACGCAATGGGCATCTCATCGATCTTCACCAACTTCCTGAACGTTTTAGAGCGGTGCTTCAAGGAATTCATTTCGTTTTTGAGTAAGTAGTAGTAGTTGAGAATCTCAAGGTCTGTTTTTTTGGGCAACTGCAGCTTTATTTGGTCGAGTCTGTGAATGGAGTACTTCCCTAAGCAGTTGAAGAATGTTTCCTTTTCAGAACCGGTCCACACCGTGCCTGCAGCACCTCCGCCGTCCGAGTCGCCTTCCTCGTCCTCATCCTCACTCCCCTCCTCAGGAGACATGCGGTCTCTCTTCAGCAATTCCATGTAGTCCAAGTCGCCCGCGACCGAAATACGGGATCGGGCCAACGGTTTGGCGTTGCCGTCAAACAAAAACGACGGCGATGAATAGTCAAAGAACTCCTTGACAGCCTTGTTGTAGAGTTGGACATAGTTTGTATTCCCTTTGAACCCTCGTTTTCTCAAGTGGTCCGGGTTTGGCTTCTGCTTTTTGTTTTGACCGAGAGATTCCAGGAGAGCATTGGGTTCAGCGTGCGCTTCAGCTGATCGTAGAGGCTCCGGCAGTACCTCTTTGAGCTTTCGCTTGGGACTTGGCCGCTCGGTTGGCTGGCTTTCAATCAAAGCAATCGCGTCGTAGAAGGGATCATCATAGAAATCATCACTGTCAGACATGATGCGCAAATAGCTTCAGAGATTGCAGGAATAAAGGCAGTTTTGTGTAATAGCCGCGCTACTGTGTAGTTCAAACACGAAATAACGCGTTTTCAGCTCGCGTTGATAATTTTGCAGGCTCGTGCCTATGTTGTTGCAGGTACTCGCGCTCCGGCATTGGGAAATTCAATCTCTTGGGCGAGAGGATCTCGAACGGTTGCAGCACAGATGAACGGTAATCACGTGAACACAGGTGGTTTTTGCACGACATGTGACTTGATGTTTTCCCCGCAGAGACAAACGAGGAGTCAACTACACAGTTATCAGCGACCATACCTACAGCCCCCATACGGTCTCACAAACACGCTCATAAACAATGTCTGCTGCTGCCCCGTTATTAGCAAAGAAGTTAAAGGTTGCATTATTGCAGTTGGCCGCTGGTGCCAACAAGGCTGCCAACTTGAAGAAGGTGGAGGAATACGCCACTCAGGCTTTGTCAGCCCACAAGGATGTTGATTTAATCATGTTGCCGGAGTGCTTCAACTCCCCATATGCCGTGGAAAAGTTCCGCGAGTACTCTGAACAGATCCCACAGGGTGAAACAAGTCAGTTTTTATCTGCATTGGCCAAGAAGCTCAACGTTATCATCGTGGGTGGTTCCATTCCGGAAATCGAAGGCGATAAGGTGTACAACACTTCCTTGACTTTCAATGCAAGCGGCAAAATAATTGCTAAACACCGCAAGGTCCATTTGTTTGATATTGACATTCCCAATGGCATTACCTTCAAGGAGTCTGTCACCTTGTCTCCTGGTAACAAGGCCACTAGTTTCCAGTTGCCGGCGTTTGGCCAGGTTGGGTTGGGAATCTGCTACGATATCAGATTCCCAGAGCTTGCTGCTATCTCTGCCCGTAAGAATAATGCCTTTGCCATGCTCTACCCGGGTGCTTTCAACACCACCACTGGCCCTTTGCACTGGCACTTGTTAGCCCGCGCCAGAGCCATCGACAACGAAATCTTTGTTGTCTTGTGCTCCCCGGCGAGAGACCCAGACCCTTCCGTGTACCAGGCCTATGGCCATTCCTTGGTGGTTGACCCGTACGGAAAGGTTATCGCAGAAGCTGGCGAAGGGGAGGAAATTGTCTACTGTGAGTTAGACCCGGAATTGATTCCTAAGGTCAGAGAGGGGATTCCAGTTACCTTCCAGAGGAGATTTGATGTGTATGACGATGTTGGTGTTACTGCTAAGGTGAGTGATCTTTAGCGTGTGTGTTTGGCCCCTCAATATCTCTATTTATGAGCTTCCCGCAGTCCAATGGCAGTGTAGAATGGATTATAAGTTTGTGTATTTATCTTTCACATATACGCACTGAAGGTATATTAATGAGTAGCAAGGATAGCCAAGTCTATCTTGGTGGCCCCAACTCGGCATGAAGAATAGGTTGAACGTATCCGATTTCTGCTCTGGAACGCATCAGATATTGTACTAAGGGGCTATACTCGGTCGTTTCGGATTCAATTTGAATTTCCAACGTACCTCTTGGGCCGCTGACTACGCCTATTTACCTAGAATGTACTACATAAATGAATTAAGGAGAAAAGAAGATAAAGGGAGCAAGAAAAAAGGAGAGTTGATAAGGCGCATAAGGAGTATATATCCTAGAACATTCTCAGGATGGTCAGCGCAATCTACAGTAAGCGAAATAATAACGCACTTGCTGATACCTGCCTCAATTGAAACGAACCCCCCCCACAGGAAACCTAAATAAGCCACGTTTGATATGCAGAGTTATATTCCAAGTCACCTGTTCGAGTCACTGGTGCTGCTACGGTTAATCTAACCATGATTCCCCCGCCAAGCCAAAGCCATTTTGCAGTATCAGTGTCTTTCTTTTATTTAGAGAGCCTAAGCGAACTTTGTGGCGCACCATTCGCCTGTCTCCAAACAGCTAACCCTTAACCAGCTAATTTTTAAAGTTCGTCCTTAATTAGCCGATATTTGAATAGTACACCTTTCCTCTGTAATATTGCGCCATATTACGGGACAAGCGGACTGCTGACAGATCGGCAGTGCCTTACCGCTCAAGGTAAATGCCGTTGGCCCGTTATAGCTGCACCAACTAGCGCACCCTTTTTCTGACCAGGTCTTCCATACTTCACGGGCATGCTCGCTTAGCCGCACGAACTGGTTTTACCCGATCGCATAAAATACCCGCAGGGAGGACACCAATCGGAGAATTTAGCAGGCGTCCCGTGAACAAGGCACGTGCATCGTGCCTCGGGTATCATTTCTCTCTTTTTTTTTTCCATACAGCAAGGGCGATATCCTGGAAAAAACAAGCGGCAAGTGCTTTTCGCGCATCGCATCGGAGCTTATGTCCCGTTGGCCTCTCTTTCACCTGCACTTAAGAGCAATAAACGCCACGAAAGCGGAAAATTTAGCCACACGCCGGGAAGGCTACGCACGATAGAAGGCCATTATCCATGAGAATGGCTTTTTAAAAGTACGTCCTCCAACCACGAGCCCTGTGTACCTAACAGGGGCTACTCGGGATAAATCAAAAGAACTGAAATTGGGGAGCCTCGGGATGGCTTACCGGTGGATGGAAGACAGCCCTTAGCGTACACCTATGCCCGTCCATAACCGATTGCTTGTAAACCTCGGTTTCAGACCCACATGGATAAAACCGATATGTCAAACTGTCCTACGAGGGAGCTTTGTTTTCCGTGCAACGTTGTGGCACGAAGCCTCAAATTCTAATTGTGTATTTCTGTCTGGTGTGGATCTTGAGCGTGCTTGCCTTTCAGCTCGCTAGTGCCTGTCAAGGAATTTTTTTTCTCGCTCGCCAGTACCTATCTCCAGTTTTTCTCCGCGGCTGCCGCGTCCCGCCCAAGCCCTATCGCTAGCTGTGACTACGGCGTTGACGGGTGAGAGATGCACGGCTGCCACACTAAACTCGCACCCACTTATCGTTCACTGCGCAGAGTCACTGACACTGACACACAGATAACCATGTCAGGCTCTAGTGTGGACGTAAGTTTTCGGGACCACGATTCCTACTGTGCATACAATATGCAACACAACAGCCATTTTTTGCACTTGTATACATTTTGGCCCCCTGTCCTGGGTACGAATATATAAACGCCATGACTCCGGGGTTTATTTTAATTGCACACCTCTTTCTTACTTCATCTGATTATAATACACACAACAGCCATAAATAAAAAACCTATACACATTAGTCATTATGCAAACCACTCGTCTTGCATACACAACGGCCAGAGCCATCCCGAGAGGCCGACTTGGGCTCCACAACTCTCCGTTGGTCTTCGGTACCAGATCGCTCCAGCAGGCTTCCAACAGAGGCATTCACACCAAGCCAGCGGCCAAGGCCGTGGCGACCTCCATCCCGAAGCAGGACGTTGTTTCTGACGACCCAAATGCGTACCTTGCGACCTTGAAGACGTCTGAGTTACTCTCCTACTCCATCATCGGTATGGCTACCTTGACCAAGCCGATCTTGAACCTTGTGATCAAGCTTTTCCCATATGTGCCAATGTGGGCCATTAAGGGTCTTGTCTACAAGACCTACTGCGGTGGTGAGACCATCTCCGATGTCATTGCTACCGGCCAGCGCTTGCACCAAAGAAATATCAATAACATGATGATTTCCTTGACCATCGAAGGCTGCGACGGTGACACCGGCTTTGAAGCCCTGTACATTGTCGACGAAACCAAGAAGTCTGTCACCGACATCTTGGTTCCCCACATGGTCAAAATGTTGAGCGAAGCCGCGCCATCTGAGATCAACTCTATTCCGGCCGGCTACGTCGCCTTGAAGCCTACCGGCTTGGTTAAGGACGCGGCCAATGTTTTGAGACACTTTGATCAACCATCTCACTCCGCCCGGTTCGAGGAGTTGGTGGCCAACTCTGCTGCCATCATCGACATTATCTACAAGAAGAACGTTGAGTTGAGCAAGGCTTATCCCGAGAGAGTCTCTCCATTCGTTGTTGGTGTCATTGACGCCGAGAGATTCGAGTTGCAGGAGGGTGTCTACGAGTTGCAGCGTCGTTTATACTCCAAGTACAACCCTGTCAATAAGCCGGTTTCTGTCGTCGGTACCATCCAGATGTACTTGAAGAACTCTATGGAGATTTTGACCAAGGACATGGCCATTGCCGAGAAGGAAAACTTCCGAGTCGGTGTCAAGTTGGTCAGAGGCGCGTACATCCACTCCGAGCCCGACAGAAACGTTATCCACAACACCAAGGAGGATACCGACAAGAACTACGATGCCGGCATCGCATTGGCCATCGACCAGATCTTGACCAACAAAAACAAGCAGGCTTCTACTATCGGCCACTTGGTTGTTGCCTCCCATAACGGCGACTCTCAGTTGAAGGCTACCGAATTGATCAAGTCCTACTCTACCACAGACTCTCTCACCTCCGTCCAGTCTCAATCCCAGCAGTCTGGTAATATTGCCTTGGCTCAGTTGATGGGTATGGCCGACAACGTTACCTACGACTTGATCAACAAGCACGGCGTCAAAAACTTGATCAAGTACGTCGCTTGGGGTCCAGCTCCACAGACCAAGGAGTACTTGTTGAGGAGATTGGAGGAAAACGGCGACGCCATGAGAGCCGATTCCGGTTGGGGCTTGTTGAAGGGCTGTTTGCAGGTTTTGGGCAAGAGAGCCTTCTAAGCAAAGACGGTTAATGATTATGATATGAATGCACGCTATAGTTGCTAATAGAAATTAAATATACATGTACAAACTATAACAGGACATCTGATTTCTTCAGCTAGACACCAGGGCGTAGACTTGCCGTGGGACAAATGAAACACAATTCCGACGAATTCACCCGAAGGGTTCTAGGCCGTTAAGAAAAATGATGAGAAACGGTGCTAGACGGGCTAGGAGAGTTTCAAGTGTTACGCTTGCTCATAAGTGGCGTGCTTGCCATTTGGGGGTTGGCAGTTACCACACAAAAGCGTTACGTTGTAATCACTAATTCGGGGGTTTCCATCCGAAACATATCCGGTCACCCTTCCTTCCGAGCCTTTGACACCCTTCACCCATTTTTATATAGCCAAGGCCTCTGTGTGTACCCCCCACGCGCCAGGGCTCGCACTTCTCCGAACGTTATTGTATTACCCCACGTGATGTCCGTTGTGGAGAACTTGCTATCGCGGGAACCCACCTTCCGCATCGCCCCCTGCTCGAGAATTGCGGTCCGTATCCTATTTAACTTCTTATTCCGCCCATAGGTAATCTCAATTTCTTCCCAATTCCTCATACCTATCAAAAAAATGTCTTCTACTTTGCAATCTGGCGAAAAGTTCCCTTCCGGTGTTGTCTTCCAACACATTCCTCTCGACGCTCAGTCTTCTCCTTTGGCCTGCTCCCGCCCAATTCCGTTCGATTTTGACGCTAAGACCAAGGGTAAGAAGGTTGTGATTGTTTCCGTTCCTGGTGCCTTCACTCCTACCTGTACTGAAAACCACATTCCAGCTTTCGTCGAGAACTTCAGCAAGTTGACTGCCAAGGGTGCCGACTACGTGATTGTTCTTTCCGCTAATGATCCCTTCGTGCTCAACGCGTGGGGTAACTTGCTTGGTGGTGGCAAGGTTGACCACCCAGAAAAATTGATCTGGGCTTCTGACGGTAACGCCGAGTTTGCCTCCAAGATCGGGTTCGGTCTCGACTTGACCTCTAAGGGTATGGGCCCAAGAACCGGCAGATTTGCCATCATCGTTGATGACGGTAAGGTTGTCTACTCCGAAATCGAGCCAGCTGGGGGTGTCACTGTCTCTGGTTACGACGCCGTCTTGGCCAAGTTGTAGGCAGACTGGAGCTGCTGGAAATAAACATGTATGGAATGAAATGTAGACCGTGGGCGACTTTTGAAATTTAGATTGTTAAAATTGGTAGGCATCGAGATTAAACAGGTCTTGGTCATTCGGGGGTCTCCTGTCTAGCCAGGATTGATATGAATCAGTTGTTGGCGCAGCAAGGTTACGGATTCCGTAGACCACAGTCCAATGTCCGGATAACCTCAAAATTGGTCTCTCACAGGTATTAGGATTTAAACTAATGGAATTGATTGGATCCGTTCACGAACAAAAGTCTAAATGATATCCTTCGACTAATCGAGGTAGTTTAGAACAAATAGCGTAGACACGGCGTAGCTGGAGTTTATTATTGGCGCCGTATGGAAAGTATGATCGATCACGTTTGGATTTTAAAGAGGAAACCTAGAAGCTAACCTGAGCGCTTCAAACTTGTGGCAAGAACTCCTCACACTCTAGTCTTACTTGCGAGTAACGCAATGTGTATACGTGTTTAACAAGCGACATGAATGTAGACCAACTGCGAAAGAGAGAAGTAAAGCAGACTTTATGTGGCCTTTAACAGTCGGCCTGACTAGTCAAATCATTCTGGATGGCTGTCTATAGCTTTGGCAAGAGCGGTCAAGCCGGTAAGAGTGGCTTGAACTTTTTCAGCAATGCCGCGTTACACAGAGACGACGATGGTGGAATTATTATAAGCAGGAACTGGGGAAACGCCAACCGAAGGGTCGCTAGGTGGTGATGAAGGTAGACGTCACCAGAGGTGTGTATACGACGGATGTGGTTAGACCCGAAAGAGGGGAGTAAATTTAGATAGATAGGCTGGCATTTATAACATCAGGCAAGTATCGGCTCCTCTGACACCTCTATGACAATTTATTGCACCATAGGTCACCAGTTCCTAGTATCTGTTTATAGTGTATCCTATAGTTCCAAGGCATTGTCTAATTAAGGAAATATAGAGGCGTCCGCTTATGCGCGGATACACGTCGTACCAACGTAGACCGTACATAGGGCAGCCCCTAGTCTCCAGCCTTGCCATATAGTTCTATCGCAATACTAGGGGTAACTGGGCTGTATAACTCCGTGTAGGTTATAACATGTTCCCTTAAATCCATGACCACAACCAATTCGTGAAACCTTCCCTGTTTGAGCCGTCCTAGCTCATTCCAAACGTAGATACATGCATACGCCATCGATGGATGACGCGTCGTATGGCCTTAAACTCCCCACACCGTGATAGATAAGAGAAGAGGATATATATACAGCAGATAGGTGACGCCATTCTGATATATGAATGTCCCATTCCTCGAGATGATTCTGTACTCGAGGATAGACTCAAGGAGAAAAAATGGCATTTGCCAGACAAAAGCCAGAGTTAGTCGTCAGTCTCGCTACGTGCAAGAGGATACGCAAATGGCGACGCACCGTCATATGGCCATGCAACGGGCGGAAAATGAACTGCACGGTCACCGGGCTGCGCATGAATATCAAAAGAAACTGTGCATCGAACCGAGACAAGACTTTTATGGGCGTATCACGCAGGCCAGGCCCCAAGATTCATCGAGCAGCAAAACCATAGAACACGTCTATCTTTTAGGCATTGTATGGTAGGTCACGTGCTTATATAGTAAGCGTCAGACTAATGCAAGGGTCGCGCCTGGGGCGTCTCATCGCCACCTCCTGTTAGTGTCACACGTGACACGCAACGTGACCGTTTTTGACATACTGTTGGGTAGGCTTACAGAGCAAACCGCGCTGCGGACGAGTACGACTTTGGGACTCTCAGGACACTGAACGGGCACACCTCAGGGGTATTAGTACATTTGGAGCAACCATTTACATCTACACCTTGACCCAGGATACACGTTAGAAACCCGACCAATCGCTTCCGGAACTTTTGTGGCGTTTATTTCAGAATCTGATCCGCTTTGCGCTTGCATTTATCTGAACACCAGTGACATCTACTGCTTATCACACACATACGTGCTATTACGTGGCATCAGTACCCTTTAATATCATTTGCCACTGCACGTTGGCGTACCGTGTTTCTGTTTGACACATCATATTTCGCAAGCTCCGCTGCTTACCTGACAGAATACGGTACTGGCGTCTGATTCTACATTAGATTTTGTCAGCCATTCTATTTACTCTCGTCATTGGCACCTGTCGTCTGTTACTTGCTGCGTTACTAGTCATATCACCCTCCAGTGTCTCTGAAGCCTTATGGTCGCTTCTAACAAACTTGTCACTAACCATACTGCAATGAGCGATAGAACAAATCCCCCGCGCGACTCGCCTCTGAAAGCCAAGGTCACATACGCAGACCCCAGCGCCGTCAAGGTGCCAGTATTTTCCCTTGCGCGGCGCATTCCGTCGTCCACCACCAGCACATACGCGAGACGGACTAATGAGGAGCCGGTGGTACCTCACAACAAGGTCAAGCGCATCGTTCGCGTCACAAATGCCAAAATCGATGCTAATGCCAATGCTAATGCCAATTCCAATGCTAATACCAAAGCGAAAGCCAATACCATCACTAATGCAAATCTCGCGAATACCAAGCCAAATTCCGCGAACACAACATCTAAAGAAAATTTCGTCAACGAAAATGCCGAAAATCCTACCGCGAATGCCAAGCACGCGATCAATGCAAACACAAGCGTCTTAGCTGCTATGTCCGCAAAAGCTTCGTCAGACACGTCAACCGTCAGTAGCCATTGCTCGCACACCTCCACATCCACCGCCACGTCCATTTTTTCAGACCTCACACCCGCTGCAGTGGTCTCCAAGCGTGCGTCCATCCAGATCCGCAACCTCCCCATGACGCCGCGGCTCCATCCTCAGAACGACTCCTCCATGGTGTTTGCACTCTGTGTAGTCGACTTCCACCACATCCGTGGTCCCGAGATCCAGCACTGGATCTCACCCGACGGTGACGATAAATCCGCATTATTCCCGAACTTGCCCTTCCAGGCGCTCCCCGACGGGTCCCATCTCTTTGCAGAGCTGTTCACGCAGTTCACGTTGCTCTACGACTACGAAAACGACTTTTCCCCTGCCCCGCTCGACCCCGACTACGACTTTTCCACCGTCAACACTTTGTTTGGTTGCGGGTGCATCCGACAGATCCAGAGCCTGGAGCTCGCGGCACTGGCAGATCTCACGCGTTCCGTGGTGCAAAAGGCGGTAGTGGTAATCTCTCGGCAGCCGTTACTCAACACGATCAAGGATAAGCTCCGCATCGTCACCAACTCCTACTTCGACCAGCACGACTTTCTGGACGTTCTGGTGTTGCAGAGCTTGCTTCACGACCTCTTACTCGTCCACAGGAGCACTGTGGACAATACAGACTACTACATGAACCTCAACCTCCGCATGTTCCTCCTCCGGTTCAAGCAGCGCTTCCTCGTGGTATTCAAGTTGCTCTTGCTTGAGAAGCGCGTGATGATCTATAGCTCGCGCGACGACTTGATAGACTTCGAGCTTAACTTGATTTCGCTCGTGCCAAACCTCATGGGCAATCTCCAAGACTCGGGCTCGCCGCGCCTCCACAACTTGTCGGTCAAGGAACGTCTTCGCAAACCGTCGTCGCTCAACACGAACGACCGCACGTCAATGCTCCGCTTCTACGGTTTACCGCTCCAGATCTTCAACCGGGGCGGTTTCTTCTACCCTTACATTTCGCTCCAGCAGCTCGACGATTTGTCTAATGAGCAGTCCAAGTTCTACATTATTGGCACCTCCAACCAGTTGCTCCGCGACCGCAAAGCCACGCTTTGCGATGTGATCATCAACCTTGACACCAACCAGCTCGAGTTCCAGGATCCCGCGCTTGAGGCTGTGTTAGGCTTGACTGTCAACGACAAGCGCTTTGCCGACGACTTGGTCAGCCAGACTGCCAAGAACTTTCACCGTCTGACCACCCAGTACCTCGGCAGTGACGACTACATCCGGTGCCAGCTCGAGGAGTACTTGCTCTCGCTCCTCCTGACCGCCAAGTGCAACAGCTACATGTCACAGTATGGCATTCCGCCGCCGGGCTTTGAGTATAATGATCGGTCTGGGAACTTGGCGTTGTTCAACGAGCAGTTTGTCACCACCTGGATGGCCACCCAGAACTACGCCATTTGGAATGCCACCGCTGACGACTTTGTGTTTAATTTCCTGGAGCCACAGCATGTGGGGATTGAGACTGAGACGGTCGGATTTCTTGATAGAATCAGCATGTCCAAGTTTGACATCGTGGAGGCCCAGCGCGCCGAGGCGGCCGTGGAAAGAAAGGAGAAGCCAGACCGCAGCCCAGGGTCGGATATGGAGACTTTGACGGAGAGTGCGAGCGCCGTGAACTTGGAGGAGGCAAAGGTGGAGCCCGCTACGGCAACGGCAGCCACGTTTATCGAGAGCTGGAGCAACTGGGCTTTCAAGGGGACGTAACCGTCCAACAGCAATTCAGCTTCCGTCAAAATATCCCCGACAGGGACATTATTCTAGTACGAGATATTACCCTGAATTGTGTCTGACTTTATCTCGCAACTGTACACTCCAAACTATATGACTGCTTCTGTATCACATGCTGATCTGAGAGCATGAAGCATTGCTCACTCATTGTCGTGCAATCCGGTATTGCTCTCGCCTCGTACACCGCCGTCATTTGTGTGTTTTTCCCCACACCTTTGATACCTCTTGTTACCAAACATCTGGTATGTTATATATTCATCGCCATGCTTCGCATCCTTTTGTTATCTCCAGGAGTTTGAAGAGCTCTTTCATTTATTCCTCGTCGTTTTTGATTAGCATTATCTTCGTGCCGTGCTTGATATATATTCGCTCGGTGCTTAGACCCAGTTTCTGTTTTGGTTAAAAAAAAAGTTTTAGTTTTCATCTCTTCACTAGTCCTTGTTTTCTCCGAATCATTGATTGCGGCCGTTTTTTATACGTTAGTATGATCACGGTAGACATAGGCCTTAGCGCTTGTAGAGGTGTTAACAGCATGTACGCTGTTATATCTACACACCCCTCCATCTGAATTAACGCCCGGAGTTGTGACATCCACATCTAGTGGATATACTCGATAAGATACCGATTATGCTTAGATAGGTTTAATGAACTCTATCGTTGACGCACGGATTTTTGTACGGATAAATCATTTTTCTTTCACCCCTGTAATATTGGGTTATATCGTCAATCTTAAAAATGAGACCATACAGTAAAGCGGTAATAAATACTGGAGGCCAAATGTACAACTGTAGGTCAAGATTTCTGAATCACAAATATTTCAAACAATGACTGCTTCATAGGAATATCTCACAGGGGAACTCTTTGTCTTCCCGACACATCTTACCGGCAGATAGTCCAGACCTTTCAAGTAAATCTATACTGTGAGATGGATGCAAACCAGATCTCAGATAAGTAGGCCATAACGGACTTTCACCTTAGTGTTGCCCAGGCTCCGACCTCCTAAGCTCACCCCTAATCTTCAAACACAACCCCCACTAGCTCCTGATCGGAAGGAAGCACGGTAATCGGAACAGCCACGTTCAACATAAACCCGCTCAAATCACCGCTGTCCACAAACAACGTCCCGTTGGAATCGTCTCTCGCTAGCTTGTACACCGATCCATCCTTTTCCAGACTCAAGAGCACAAACTCAAACTCCAACTTCCAGGAAACGTCTACAACGTCTGACTGAAACTGTGAGGTCGCTGCTAGCGGAACATGGACCACTGCGGCAGCCTGCTGGCAGTCAAGCGTGTTGAGGGCCACCGAATCGACGCACGTTTTGTTCTGCTGCGACGCCGTGGGGCTGCTGGAGGATGGATCTGCCAAGTACACCGACCGGATGTCCTCCATCAAGCAGAGCGACACTACGAGCCCGGACGTCTTCCAGACGGGGGTGTCCTTGCTGAAATCTACGAAAACTTGGATATCCTCACCAAGCTTAACCACCGCCTTTCCTAGCGTCACTGTGGCTATCGGCACGCTCTTCCGCGAGATCTTGAATTTGCGTTGGCTACGGCCGATCTGCGGAGACAAACCGGCAACCTCCGTATTCTGAACATCTCCCACTGCTAGGTTGTCTGCGAGGAGAAAGATGCTCTCGCGAACGGTGAGGTGTGTCCCGTTTGGATGGACCTCGCTGATGGATTGTCTTCTGGAGTCGAGTTTCTTTAACTGAGCGAGAAACTCTGTCTTGCGCTCGAGCTCCGCCTGGCTCTCAGTCTCGGTGGCGCTATTTTTGTGCAACGCCTTGAAACTGGGCTTGCGGTGGGACTTGATCTCTGTGATAGTCGCTTCGTCCCTCACGACGATGATGGGATCCATGAGCGTGTACTGAGGCTGGTTGCCCCAGCGGTCGAGCCACGGGTGAAGTTTGAACGGGAAGAAGAGCGATTTCCTCACTAGCAGCGCATCCAGTGAGCCCACAATCACCTGGTATGACACATCCACCGCGCCCCCGTGGTACGTTGGTGGAATATCCTGCGGCAAGGCAGTTTTGAAATGGAAACTCCGGGTCTCCCCAGGATGCAACGTAATCTCTGTGAAGAGAAGTGACTGAGGCGAGGAAAACAAGGGAATAATGTTGCCCTGGAGAAACTCTGACGTTGCCACGTTGTTTCGGTTGGCAAGTTCGTCGCGTGAGGAAAAGAACGGCTTCGGTGCCCGCGATACCTCCAATCCTGTAATCCCCGCCATTCGACCCCCCACAATTGCTTTTTTCTGCACCGCTTCGAATGGCTCGGGGTTCATAATCTCTTCATTAAGGGAAAGGTTGCCAAAAAGTTGGATGTATCCAAGAAGAATTGTTTCTGAAAGGTCTTCATCCTCAATCGTTTCGATCTCCCTTTGCATAAGTAGGCGTTTGGCGCTGGAGAATTGCATGGAGAGCCGGGTACCAAACCATGACTCGGCCTTTGCATCTTCTTTGGTCGTGGTGATGGAGGCCACATCTTGGGTGGATCCGGAATCTGAGCCGTTTCTGCGGATATCAAAGTCGTCAAACGTGGGCAGGAGGACGTTCTTAAAGCGCACAATGAGCGAAAGCTCCTCCTTGGCAAACACCGGCGATGTCTCGTAAACAACCTCCACGCGCACTTTCTTTGATAGCGGTTGTTTAAACACAGTGTGGCTGTGCGACATGAGGAGGGTGGGTTGCACTTATGTCCCCCCTCTAGTGGGGCGGTGAAGAGTAAGTTATAACTTCAGGTGGAGTCGTGCAAGGCAAAAGGTGTGCGGTTACAGGATTACCTAAATAGGAATGTGCAGGATAAAGATTGACTCCTCCCCATCACCTGCAGACAATTGTGTGGCTTACAAATACTGCAGCTCAGCTCTATGGGACACGCCGGCGTCAGATAAAACTGGATTTGCCGTCCGCATTACTTCTTCTTCGTCTCGCACAGTTGTTTAAACATAGATTACGCCATGGAGTTTTCAATGGCTGCTAACAGCACTCTCCCAGTGCCACTGGCACTTTTTGCCTTGTGTTCCAGCGCCGAGGGCTGGGGTCCAGTCTCGCAGTACCACGACTTCACCCCGTGCTTCGTCGACGGGCTTGTCAACGCCGCTTCCGGTTTCTTGCTCCTTCTCGGGGCGACCCAGGTTGCACGGATGCGCGTGGCTAAGCCTTGGTATCCGTTTGTCAAAGACTTTTACTTCTACCTTAAACTCTCCCTCGTGGCTTTCCAGGCTGCATTGTATGGCGGGTTGGCGGTTTTAGCCGCTCCTGGGTCTATCGTGACCCCCGTTTTGGCGATTATTTCCCTCGTTGTTGCTTTTGCCGCCCACTACTTGCAGCACAACAAGCGTGTAGTGTCCTCTTCGGTCCTCCTCACCTACTGGTTCCTCTCCATCGTGTTTGGTGCCTTCAAGTTGGTCAACTTCTGGATGAGAAGCGACCTCAACGATGCGTTCGTGGCCCAGGCGTTGCTCACGGCAAATGCTCTTGTTATCCTCATTGTCGAGCACACCTCCACCAAGAAGGCCGCGCCTCGCGATGTGGTGTTCCAGAAGCTCCTCGCGCGTTTGTCTCCATACGAAAAGGCCGATCTCTTCTCGAAAATCACCTTCACGTGGATGACCCCGTTGATGCGCAAAGGCCACGAGCAATTTTTGACAGAAAAGCACCTTCCAACCCTTCCTAAGGAGTTGCAGTCGTCCACCAGCTCCACCCTCTTCACCCTGAACTACTACAACGACGCCCACAAGCCAAAGATCTCGCTCACACGGGCGTTGCTCAAGTCCTTTGCCCAGTCGTTTCTCCTCGGTGGTGTGTTCAAGGCTATCCAGGATTGCCTCGCCTTTGTCCAGCCACAGTTGTTGCGTCTCTTGATCAAGTTCGTCACCACCTACACCGATGATAAAACGCCTCAAGAGCCGCTCATCAAGGGTTTGGCCATTGCCGGCGCTATGTTCGTCGTCGGAGTGTGCCAGACCGCGGCCCTTCACCAGTACTTCCAACGCGCCTTCGACACCGGGATGAAGCTCAAGTCGTCGTTGATCTCCACCATCTACCAGAAGTCACTCAAGCTCTCGAACGAGTCCAAGGGGTCGAAGAACACCGGCGATATTGTCAACTTGATGTCCGTGGACACCCAGCGCTTGCAGGACCTCACCCAGAACCTCACCATCATGTGGTCCGGGCCGTTCCAGATCATCTTGTGTCTCGCTTCGCTCCACTCTTTGCTTGGAAACGCCATGTGGGCCGGGGTCTTAATCATGGTCATCATGATCCCGTTCAACGGCTTTTTGGCCAGGATCCAGAAGACCCTCCAGAAGCAGCAGATGAAAAACAAGGACGAGAGAACTAGACTCATCTCCGAGATCTTGAACAACATCAAGTCCTTGAAGCTCTATGGCTGGGAGGAGCCGTACAAGAGCAAGCTCAACTATGTGAGAAACGAGAAGGAGCTCAAGAACTTGAAGGTCATGGGCATCTTTCAGGCCATTTCCAACCTCACCTGGAGCGTTGCACCATTCTTGGTATCTTGCTTCACCTTTGCGTTGTTTGTGACCATCAACAAGGATACGCCGTTATCCACCGATATTGTGTTCCCCGCCTTGGCGTTGTTCAACTTGCTCTCCTTCCCGCTTGCCGTGATTCCAAACGTCATCACCTCCGTAGTCGAGGCCTCCGTCGCTATCTCGCGTTTGTCCTCTTTCTTTGAGATGGAGGAGTTGCAGATAGATGCAGTGCAGAGAATTCCTACCAAGGCTGCCAACGTAGGCGACATTTCTGTCGAAGTCTCCGGTGGTACCTTTTTATGGTCCCGCGTCCCAACCTACAAAGTGGCTCTTTCTGACATCAACTTCATTGCCAGAAAGGGTCAGTTGACCTGTGTCGTGGGAAAGGTTGGCTCGGGTAAGTCCTCATTGGTACAGGCGATTCTCGGTGACTTGTACAAGTCGCAGGGTACGGTGGTCACCCATGGTAAGATCGCCTACACCTCCCAGGTTGCCTGGATCATGAACGGTACCGTCAAGGAAAATATCTTGTTCGGTCACAAGTATGACCCGGCGTTCTACCAGCAGGTCTTGAAGGCCTGTGCTTTGACTGTCGACTTGCAGATCTTGCCAGAGGGCGATGCCACCGAGGTGGGTGAGAAGGGTATCTCGCTTTCTGGTGGACAAAAGGCCAGATTGTCCTTGGCCCGTGCCGTGTACTCCCGCGCCGACATCTACTTGCTTGACGACCCTTTGAGTGCCGTTGACGAACACGTCGGAAGACATCTCATCGATCACGTGCTTGGGCCAAACGGTTTATTGTCCCACAAGTGTAAGATTTTGGCTACCAACTCGATCAGCGTCTTGGAGATTGCTAACCACATCAGTATGGTTTCCGGCGGCGAGATTGTGGAGTCAGGTACCTATATGGATGTTTTGGCCAAGCCGGAATCCCACTTAGCGCAGTTGATCAACGAATTTGGTAAGAAAAAGAGAACCGGTGCTGCCGAGTCCGTTATCACCACTAGAGCTGGTACGCCGGATAACGTGAACTTGGATAACTTGGAGTCGGACGTGGCTTCCTTGGTCGATGGTGTTTCCTTGAGAAGAGCCTCTCTTGCGTCGCTCCGATACCACGACGACGAGGAGGAAGACGTGGAGCAGCAGAATGGAGCTTCTACTAACAAGTACGAGTTCCGAGAACAGGGTAAGGTCAAGTGGGACGTGTACTTTGCCTACGCCAAGGCCTGTAATCCTCAGTGGGTCATTCTCTTGTTATCATTTATGGTTTTGTCGATGGGTGCTTCTGTTAGCGGCAACTTGTGGTTGAAGCACTGGTCCGAGGTAAACACCGAAAAGGGCTACAACCCACACGTTGGTATGTATTTGGGGGTCTATTTTGGTCTCGGGTTCTTGGCTTCGAGTTTGACCTTGTCCCAGACCGTCATTTTATGGATCTTCTGCTCCATCCAGGGCTCCAAGTACCTTCACAACGGTATGGTCGACTCCGTGTTGCGGGCGCCAATGTCCTTTTTTGAAACCACGCCTATTGGCCGTATCTTGAACCGTTTTTCGAACGATATCTACAAGGTGGACGAGATCTTGGCACGTGTGTTCTCCATGTTCTTTGCCAACTCCGTCAAGGTTTTGTTTACTATTATCGTTATTTGCTTCACCACCTGGGAGTTCTTGTTCATGGTCTTGCCATTGGGGGTTTTGTACATATACTACCAACAGTACTACTTGAAAACCTCCCGCGAATTGAGAAGATTGGACTCTGTCTCCAGATCGCCGGTGTTTGCCCACTTCCAGGAAACTTTAAACGGTGTGTCTCTTTTGAGAGCCTATGGCCAGGAGGAGCGCTTCAACTTTTTGAATGAATCCAAGGTTGACCGCAATATGCAGGCCTACAACCCTTCGATCAATGCCAACAGATGGTTAGCAGTCAGATTGGAGTTTCTCGGGTCTTTGGTCATTCTCGGTGCTGCTGGCCTCTCCATCATTGCGCTCCCATCGGGTAAGATCACCGCCGGTATGGTTGGTTTGTCTGTTAGTTACGCCTTGCAAATCACGCAATCCTTGAACTGGATTGTCAGAATGACCGTCGAGGTTGAATCCAACATTGTGTCCGTTGAGCGGATTATGGAATACTCTGAGTTGGTTCCGGAGGCCCCGGAAATCATCGAGTACAACCGTCCACCTGCCAACTGGCCGCGGCAAGGTGCCATCAAGTTCAACGAGTACTCCACCAAGTACAGACCGGAGCTTGACTTGGTTTTGCGCAAGATCAGTTTGGAGATCAACCCAAGAGAGAAGGTGGGGATTGTCGGGAGAACCGGTGCTGGTAAATCCTCTTTGACCATGGCCTTGTTCAGAATCATCGAGTCCACCCACGGGAATATCGAAATCGACGGCATTCGTACCAGCAGCATTGGCTTGTCCGATTTGAGACACAAGTTGTCGATTATCCCACAGGATTCGCAGGTGTTCGAGGGTACTATCAGAGACAACTTGGATCCTACGGAGGTGTTCTCTGACGAACAGATCTGGAAGGCCTTGGAGTTGAGTCACCTCAAGCACCACGTGTTGACCATGGAGCAGGACGGAGAGGGCTCCGGCTTGCACGTGAAGTTATCCGAAGGTGGATCCAACTTATCCGTGGGTCAGCGCCAGTTAATGTGTCTTGCACGTGCCTTGTTGATTCCTTCTGCCATTTTGGTGTTGGACGAAGCCACCGCGGCGGTCGATGTCGAAACCGACAGATTGATTCAGGAAACCATCAGAGACGCGTTCAAGGACAGAACAATCTTGACCATTGCGCATAGATTGAACACCATTTTGGACTCTGACCGTATCATTGTCTTGGAGAAGGGTGAGGTTGCCGAATTCGATACCCCAGCGAATTTGTTGAAGAAGAAGGAGTCCTTGTTCTACGCCTTGTGCAAGGAGGGTGGGTTTGTTAATGAAGAATAGGCCGAAAGTTTAAAGTGCTTTTAGTATAGATTAAGTATGTTGTTGAAAATAAAAGGTTTGTAAGCCAAAATCGCGTATCTAGGTGAGCCAATCGAATCAAGTTTACCCATCGCAGGTTATTGATGAAAAATACGGCTTATCTCTCACCAAAATGTTCCCAGAGACACTAGCGAAGGGTTTTCTCATCCAAAGCTCTAGAACAATTTCTTGTGTACATCATTGTGCCTTTCATACCTTTAAGTTATATGTTATGCTTAAAGACTCAACGGTTGACCGTTTCCGGTGGGCAGCAGGGGGGTGAGGTCACGGAATCATCCTCCACACTGTTATCTATAGCACGTGACCAAAAAACACTATCTAAGGGGTTTTATACCAAAACAAGGATACCTAACCCTACTTCCACCACCTCGTATCTCAGCTTTCATCAACCACGTAGGTGTCACCCAGATGGAATTCTAGGTAAACAAACAGAAATCATATATATATTGCATGCCAGACACCATTCATTGTAAAAAATTGCCCTGGTACCCAAGACACAGGGTATCTAAAGCGTCGTGTACCGAACAACAGAACATGCCCCCGCGCCATGACGTAGCGCGCACCAGCAACAACCCGAAAAATCCTGCCGAGACGTATGGTTTAAACTAATCCCCTCTTGTACTTACTCCATACATCGTTACGCAGGATTTATTCCCTCTCGGCCTTGCTTATCTAACCCTCACCGCTCACTTAACGCACTATGTCCGACGGAGATTTTACCAGATTGCAGATCTTTGGCACCGTGTTTGAGATAACTGGCCGCTACACGGACTTGAACCCCGTGGGGATGGGGGCGTTCGGATTGGTGTGTTCAGCCAAGGACAAGTTGACAAACCAAAACGTGGCGATCAAGAAGATCATGAAGCCGTTCTCGACCCCGGTATTGGCGAAGCGCACGTACCGTGAGTTGAAGTTATTGAAACATCTCAGGCACGAGAACTTGATCTCGCTCGACGACATCTTTCTTTCGCCATTGGAGGACATTTACTTCGTGACCGAGTTGCAGGGCACGGACTTGCACCGCTTGCTTACATCCCGGCCGTTGGAGAAGCAGTTCATCCAGTACTTCCTCTACCAGATCCTCCGCGGGTTGAAGTACGTGCACTCCGCAGGGGTTATCCACCGCGACTTGAAGCCGTCCAATATCTTGATCAACGAGAACTGTGACTTGAAAATCTGTGACTTTGGACTAGCCCGCATCCAGGATCCCCAGATGACCGGCTACGTCTCTACGCGCTATTACCGCGCGCCAGAGATTATGCTCACGTGGCAGAAGTATGACATCGAGGTCGACATGTGGTCTGCCGGGTGCATTTTCGCGGAAATGATCTTGGGCAAGCCGCTCTTTCCGGGAAAGGATCACGTGCACCAGTTCTCCATCATTACCGAGTTACTAGGCTCACCGCCGGCCGATGTCATCGACACCATCTGCTCCGAAAACACGTTAAAGTTTGTCCAATCGTTGCCCCACAAGGAGCCGGTTCCGTTTGCGGAGTACTTTGCCAGTAACGAAATGGAGCCAGAAGCGATTGACTTATTGGCCAAGATGTTGGTGTTTGATCCGAAGAAGCGCATCTCCGCGGAAGAGGCCTTGTCCCACCCGTACCTCCAGCCGTACCACGACCCGCTGGACGAGCCGGTCGCGGGTGAGAAGTTCGACTGGTCGTTCAACGATGCAGATTTGCCGGTCGATACCTGGAGGGTCATGATGTACTCCGAAATCTTGGACTTCCACCACGTCGACAGTGGCCAGATCCAGGCCCAGCTGGAGCAGTTGCAGTACCAGCAGATGCAACAGCCGGCACAGTAGCAAGAGTTTATATGTAATTTTATCATCCATAGAACGGTGTAGGATGCAGGCGCTTTCAAAGGGGCGTGGGAGTGAGTGGCCGGAGTGCTTCGAGAAAATATCAATCCTGGGAAGCGTGGCTATGTGGTGTTTCCAGTTGTCGGAAGTATGATTCAATGGTACTGTTTACGTGAAACGGGTCTTTATGCTTGACATCTAGTAGGAGGTCCGAATCAGGCGGGCGTGGTGGTGAATGGCCTTTAGCATGGGCCGAGCACCATCGTTGCCAGGCATTCCATGAAATTGATGAAAGACTCCTTAATACTGGTACACCAACGGCCCATGGATGCATTAGTTGGCCCCCAACGGACAGAAGGGTCTAGAGCGTTTTTGGAAGCTTGACTGCTGCTCTAAGGCCTCTATTCAAGGAGGGTTGGCAATGTGCGCCTCCAATACCCATTGATAAACAAGAATCACCAGACTCATTTACTAATCCATAGCTTATTTGATGCACTCCCCTTCAGTATACTTCCCCTGTCTATAGAAACTAGTGAAATTGCCCAACAAACCCTGCCGACTCATCCCACAGACTTAGGAAGGAGAGGATGAGGATTACTTGCACACTTCCACTGTCTAAACTGTAATTGTACAACCTAGATGAATATCATCTTATTTATATATCGGAAAATAATATCAGCTTATACCTGTAACACTATATTGGCCATTCAAATAATAACCTTGGTCGTTTAAATAAACCCACCATCCTCTTAACTCCGTCCGTGCAGCCGCGAAAATTCTCAACATCTCGGCTCAAATCTTCTTCTCAAACCTCCTCTCAAATCTCCGCTTCCCAATTGACCTCTTTTTTTTTTTGCCAACGTCATCACTACCATGTCTTTACAGCAAGCACAGATACTTGATGCGCGTTTTGCCACCTACAAACAAGACTTCCACGTGCCTACATTGGGGTCGTTGGACATTTCAAACCCTGCGTATGATCCCGCGGTAGAGTCCATCTACTTCTGTGGAAACTCACTTGGGCTTATGCCCAAGGCAACGCGCCAAGCGGTGATGGATGAGCTCGATGCGTGGGCCACACGCGGTGTGGAATCGCACTTCCGCAACGCGCGCACCACCGACTGGGTCGACGTTGACTTGCCGCTCCTCCCGCTTCTCGCGCCGCTTGTGGGCGCGCGTGTGACGGAGGTTTGCGTGGCGGGTACGCTCACGGGCAACTTGAACTCGCTTGTAACGTCGTTCTACCGCCCGCAGGGAAAGAGGACCAAAATTTTGTTTGAAAAGGCCGCGTTTCCGTCGGATTACTACGCATTTTTGAATCAAGTGCGCTTGCGCGGCTACGACGCATCACACTTGGTGCAGCTCGCGCCGCGGGCGCGTGAGTATGTGCTCCGCACCGAGGACATCCTTGCCGCAATCGACCAGCACGAGGCCGAGTTGGCCTTGGTGTGTTTCTCGGGGATCCAGTACTACACCGGCCAGTTTTTCGACATTGAAGCCATCACCAGACACGCCAAAGCCAAGGGGATTACCGTCGGCTGGGACTTGGCCCACGCGGTCGGCAACGTCGAGTTGAGCTTGCACGACTGGGATGTCGACTTTGCCGTCTGGTGCTCATACAAATACTTGAACTCCGGTCCGGGTGCCATTGCGGGGCTCTTTGTGCATGAAACACACACCAAGGGCAAAGGCACGGACTTTATTCCTCGCATGGCGGGCTGGTGGGGCAACAATGCGAGCGAACGGTTCAAGATGTTTGAGAAGTTCGAGCCAATTGAGTCTGCCTTGGGCTTTAGACAGTCAAATCCGAGTGTGACCGATGTGGTTGCCGTCAAGGCGTCCTTGGAGTTGTTTGCGCGTGCGGGAGGAATTTCCACTTTGAGGGAAAAGGGGGTGGAGCTCACCAATTTCTTGGAAAAGTTGTTGCACGTATCGAAGCATTATATCACGCCAGATGCGTCGTTTGACGAAATTTCCACGCCGTGTTTCACGATCATCACGCCTGTATATGTGGATGCTCGTGGCCAGCAGTTGTCGCTTTTGTTCTTCCCGCACCACGATTCGCGCGCGCAGAACGTCATGGAGCGTGTGTTTGCGTACTTGAACGGGTATGGGATCATTGTGGATGAGAGAAGGCCGGATGTGATCAGAATCGCGCCGTTGCCGCTTTATAATACGTTTGAAGAAGTCCACTACACTGTCAGACGGTTCAACGAGGCGTTTGACAAGATTCTCGCCGGGGAGATCTAAATTGATGGACTTGTGCCATAGCTTTGATGAACGGCTATAGATTTATTGCCTGTATTCCATAGCATCGGCTCTATATCTTGGACTGTTAACCATATGTTTATTAAATGGTGAG